TTAGAGATTTGACTCTTGAAAGATATACTGAACAGTTACCGTTACTTGTAACTGGTCGTTACCGTTACTTGTACGGTAACTGCTTATCCGTTACCGTTACCAGGAACGGGAACTGTTCAGCAGTTACCGTTACCGGGTAACGGGAACTGGTAACTGTCACAGCCCTAATGGTGTCTCAAAGTGCGTTAGAATCTGAGTACTTTTTTATTTTTGACTGTGGAAAGTTCTCAAAATAAAAGCTTCTAGTTGAACTTGAAATGAATAATTTATCTTGATTGCATCATGTTGTCGAAGAGAAAGCTGAGTAAAACATGATGAAATCAGCGTTGTACATTCTCACGAAGAGCTCTTCGAACGAGAACGTTTCTCGAACCTAAAACTTTTGCGTTTTGATGTCTTGGAGCTAATATTTCGTACAAAAATCAGATTTTTCGAGCCACGACATAAAACTATTTCATAAAGTCAAGATTTTAAGAGAGGTTCCATGAGGAAATCGAGCATTCTGCCAGAGAGGCATCATATGGTCAAATCTCAAATTTCAATTTCGATATGTCCGTTCGATAGCGCATGTTGAGAAACCTCTGTAGCCAAATTTTTAGACGAAACAAATGTTTTTTGACGGAGATATGGCGTTTTGATTAAAACGGGTCTGTTCCCGATTTTTCAACTTTTTCTCAAAAACAAGCCATGTTTTCTCTCACCTCGTTTTCAGCCAATTTTCGATCGATTTTTTTGAATGACATCTCATTCGAAAGAGCGGGAAAAACTGAACAAGATGCAATATTTTCCATGTCTCGATCATGCTATTTAGGCTTCGAAAAGGTCCGAAACCATGCCCAACATAGAAAATGGAGCAATGAATTGGTAAAGTATTTGGTAAAAATCCACTACTAGATATCTTTTCACTAGAAATTTTATGGCTTCATCTTGTAGAGAATTGAATTCTCTACAAGATGCACTATAGTTTGTATTTTTTAAGTGTTGGCAAGGTGACCAAAAATGTAAAATACTGAGAGTGACTAGCGCAACCGAAAAGCAAAAATCGAGCACATCACCTTTTTTCCACTTCCTGATGACAAATCATGATGAAACTAAGGTCGCTTATGGCGAGGATTTCCTACGGAGGCTTTTAGGATTACTTCTTAATGAGTTTTATTGAAAAAAAATCAAGTTTTCTTCTTGCGCAGTGAGTGTCTTTTCGCGGGTATTTCTGATGACGCAATGAGAGGCGTTCTGGTAGACGCTGATGTTTGCCGGCAACGAGATGGTTCACAAGATTTCCTTGACGCAAAATTGTTTTGACACATCCCTCTTCATAACATTCAGATAAGCGACTAACATGGGCGGCCTCGTCTGTGCCGGTATGCGGTTTCGACAAATGGTATTGTTTGCTCTTGGGCTCCGATTTAGTGAATAGAATTGTCTTGCCCTTAGGTGTATCGCTACATACGATGGTGCTCACACTTTTTGGTTGCTGTAGCTTCGAATATACAATGAGTTTGCCATCGCCTACTTTCCAGGACCGATGCACGCGAATACCGTCCGGTTCGAATGAGAAATTGTTGACGAGATTAATTTTGGGAAACTGGAAAGCGGACCGTTGGCCAGCTTGCCCAGTCGGGTTTCGTATGCGTAAACTCCTCGGACGCCTCCGTTGGCATAGGTGGCTTCGACGAATTCGGCTGCAGTTGTCACATTATGTTTTTCGTTGAGGAAACGGCGCACATGCGACTTGATCACAACCGCATATCGGTCACAAGGATCTTTACCTCCATGAGGATCACAAAAGTCAAGTCGCCGAATTTGAATATTAGTTTCATACGAGATTTGAGATAGCGAGAGAATAGTTTGGGCTGAGTGATAGCAACCGGCGTTGTCGGATCGGATGAAAGCATTGTCTATGCTACCATCAACACGTTTTAGTACGTCACGAAGAATAGCCACGACGGTCTCGCTGTCCTGGACGCAGTGATCGAATACATGAATGATAATCAGATAGCTATATGCGTTTTCGTCCTCAGTAGATGCATCCTCATCGATAGGCTCATCCGTTTTGGAAATTGATTGATCATTCTTACGCACAACCACACTGATATGTCAGCTGATGCCGCGCTTGCCAAAGAAGTAAGTTTGACCTTCTCGATACTTTTCGGGCAGCCACTTCATGGCCCAGTCCATATAAATATTCACAGAGTTGTTATTTAATGTACCGAGTATTTCTTGTCGACAGAGATCTTGGTTGATTGCACGAAGTAAATGGCACTTCCAGGCTTCGATCGCCTCTTGGTATGACATGAACTTGGCAAGCAGTCGAGTCGATACTTGCTTGTCATTGGTGGAGTTGTCGATGGCATGTTTGATCTCTTCGAAAGTGACCCGAAGATTGAGACACTCATCACATGTGTCAGTATGTTCGTGATCACACATCTGTTGAAAGTTTTTGTCCGACTTGTCACACAACGCAAATGTGGCACAATGATCGCCTACCGTAGATGATTTGGCGACATGTACCTTGTAGTCGGATTTCAAATATTGTCGGCCTCGCTTAAGATTCTCTAGTAGACGGCGATGTTTCCTCATGTCGAGATGGAGTTCCTCAATAAGTTTTTCCATTGAGTCAAATGCTTCTCCCGCATCAGCAGCAAAATAGTTAATCCCTTGTAGAGATTTACGCGTCGATGATTTACACACATCGAGTAGCGAGTATAGGCTGCTCCGTCCTAATGGATGGAAGCCGAGCGAGTTTTCTTGACAAAAAATGTAATATTGCTCGATAATGCGCGTCGGAATCATGTTTCGGATAGTGTTGGGTACGAATAGTTCGTTTCCATTCGATTGTTTGAGACACCGTTCGCCAAATGGGAGATCTGTGCAGACGTGCTCGGACGTGATGAATTCGATAAAATGCTCGACCTGATCGTAGTCAAAGCGTTGGACCACGGTGGGTGACTGATCGATGGGGACACCATGACCGAACTCGGCTGCGTGTTTGCGAGCGGCCGTGAAGCGGTCAATAGTGAGACCGGGCAAAAACGATTGGATTAGTTTGAAATTGATTTGCGGTGCGACGATCGATAGAATTTCACGACGAGTCGTCCACGATTCAGTGTTCTTGTAGGCCTCGGACACACCTTCCATAACCGAAAGAAAATTACCATCGAGTTTGACCACGTGCTTATCACCGTGATGCTCAAATAAGTCATGTTCCAATTGATCAACATCGTTCGGGGCCATGACGCGTATCACGCTCTTGACGATTGAACGAGCGCGAGATAAATACCTGAGACGAGTTTGTTCGGTCAGCTCTCGATAGTTATGGGTCACCCACGTTCGATTCTTGTTGCCACATAAGTCCAATAGATGATTGAGAGCTTCTCGAAGCAGTTTCGTCGACTCTTTATCGTCACTAAGCACGAAGTCTTCGTCGGTATCTGCATCTGCATTCGAGTCCTCATCACTTGATGGCTCTTCCTTATTGTCATCATCTTCATTGGCTGTTTGCACGTTAGTAGTAGTAGTAGCGCGCTGCCGATTTGCGCGTCGCTGATCGATTACTGTAGATATTTCCTTCATACAATAATCGTGTAAAAAATCATAGTAACCTTTGCGACGGGTACCACACATGAATTCTCCGTACGAGTGTTTGATGTTAAAGCTATCGTGGATGGAGAGTGCTTGTTTACGAGTGATTTTCTGCAACTGCTTCGTACTTGCCGGAGTTTGTCCAGAAATCGAAATACGGTCATGTAAAGTACTTTAAAGTAATACCGTCACGGTCAATCAGGAGATACACATTATTACTGTGTAAATTCTTTATTTGTTATCTTCTAGTGTCTCTAATTACCTGCTCAATTTAGTGAGGCTTTACGGCTGAATATATAAACAGCTTAACGTTTCTAGTTCTACTAAAATTATGTTCTAATATTCCCCATCTGTATGAGCCCTCCAGTGATACTAAATATTTTTGTCTGAACGAGGATAGCAAAAAGCACATGAAAAGAACGTGAGAAAATCTTACTTGAATATAAAGATAAGTCCCATCTAATACTAAAATAGCTGCATTTGGATCGTCTGTCAATAGCTGTTGCGCAAGTGGAGACGTATGATGTTTTACGACATCTTCTCGTGTAATGTGATGAAAACCCAAATGCTTTTCGACAAAACCATTAGCACATTCTAGTGCTTGACGTACGCTAGATAGAGATCTAGAAACAGCTTGTGGACCAGTCATTTGAAATAGTGTTGCCAGTATTTTGTTACTAAGTCCAGAACGCATCTTACACAGAAGACAGACGATTGCGCCCCTGAACGATTTGATGAATTATTTAAGTTTGAGTTTGATAAACGGCTAACTAAATCATTAAAGTTTCCTTCAGAAAGACCAGTGAGATTAAAATAATCAGAACTGGACATTGCGGAAGGATTATCAAAATCAAAACGATTCTTTGAGTTCAATGCATGCCGAAATTTTGAAAACCAATTAGTTACGTCAGGTGATGTTAAAGAAACCTCTTCTTTTTTGTAAGTTGTAATTTGGTCAATGGATTCCGCTGTAATGCGACAGTATTTAACATGTTTCGAACAACACCGATTATCTTTGGGTATTATAATATTTTTAGTCATAAACACAAAATCTCGATCGATCTCTGAAACTGTGACAGGTGACTTTTCCAGCATTCCTCCACACAAACAGCATTGACTGCAAAAGCAAACAACAGAAATCTCGAAGTTAATCGTTACAAAACCTGTAAGGTATGGCTTCTATTTACCTACCTATGTGATGACAAACAAAAACTCATTTGAATTTCTATAGAACCTGGCGACAACTGTTCACTAGGACCCGTCCGTGGTACTGAACTCAGATCACAATCCGTTTCCATAAAATCATCCTGAAAAACAGCTAAATGTACTTACAGCGACATTTATTGCATATGAAGCCACTATTTGGCATTGGATTTAAAGTTCGCGCAAAAACGAATAAACGCAACGGGAAGCTGATAAATGGACGTCTGGAAAACTCATTAATACGCTCTCCACAACAGACACAAACTGTAGGCATTCTTCGAATTAGTAATTCAAATCAGTACAATTACTCTTCTATTTATACAGTCTTGATATCTATATTCTACTAAAATCTTCGTGTTCTTTATTTTTCTCGTCGATGTCCAGACACTACTATATCTATCTACAACACGACCGACACATTAATAGAACAAAAAATAATAATGAAATATCTCTCTTTCCATGTGCTAACTGCCATACTACAACAAAAGAGTTCGCTACAGACGCACAGTATTTCGACAATTGTGCTATATGGGCGCATTTTTGAAAAGCTCATTTATAGCTTATTTTGAAGTCCAGAAAATTCTCTATTTTACTATGTATGCGCTTTGCTCAAGGACTTTGAAATCGGATGAGAAATTTGCGGAAAACGGTAAATGGCTTTTGTTGAACTAGTGGCGAAAAATGAAATGTAATTTTTTTTTCAAAGACACCAGAAGGATTTTTTGAAAATGGGAAGTGTTGGGAAGTGAAAAGGGAAGCATTTCCAATCATTGCCACTCAAAATCATATTGGGCGATTTTCTAGCAAAAACCGTTTCCCGTCCTTTAAAATTTTAAAATTTTGTAAATAATATAATTTTATATTTAATATTGTTACTATATATTTACCACAGGCTCTTTCGAATCTGGTTCATCCTTTTTATTGAAAATTGTTTTGCCACATTGTTTCAAATATCAATTTTTTGCCCTTGTCACAACATAACTCATGGAAAACGAAAGTTTTTCGAGGTTTTCTGTTGTATGTTTCACCAGTATTGGTTGTGTTGCTGATTCTTGATCGTTTTGCTATACAGTTATTATTTCCAGGGTAGGGTGAATTAAATAGTATTTTATGCATATTTTGAAGAATCTTATAAGACAATTAGAATTAATATGGTCCGTGACCATCACTATGTGCAGTACATGTGCAGAAATATTTGTGAAGAGAAGTTAATCAACATAGTAATGACTGGTTGTTTTCAACTTGAAGCATTTCTTAAAACATCAATGAAATTATGACATGAAACAATATATATGCTTCAGCAATTTTTGATTAGTTGTTTATTATATCTTCTTTTACTCTGCTGCTGAAACGCAGCCTCAGTCGTGGTGCATTTTTCCTCTAGCTTTTGTATTAAAAATAAATACTTACGAGGAAACTATTCCAACTGATACACCATTTTTAGCTCGAAACTTAGAGGATTATACGTAATCGACCATGCTGATTCTGAATATCAATACGAGAGTTGATGCTAGGGTTTCGCTCTTGAAAGAACAGGTTTCAAAATCAAAAACCTAGTGACGTCGAAAAATTTTCTGATCTATTCAGATGAAAGACCAGATAGAGTAACCGACAAAAAACTAATTTATTTAATTTGACTTCGATTTCTCGCAGACATGTAGGCATATTTCTTCTCTTCGGTAATGCAAGCTCTTGATGTTTCAAATTCTGATCGTTTTTCTCCAACTTAAAATCATTCTAGAATTATACAAATTAGTTTTTCGTGGATGATCTTTCATCTGGACAAATCAGAGCAATTTCGAACGTCAACGTTTTGAGATCAGAAACCCGTTGCCAGAGATCAGTCTTTAGAAGTCTTGCAGCAGCTCTCGTATTGATAGTCAGAATCAGCTTGGTCGATTACGTTTAACCCACTAAGTTTCGAGCTAAAAATGATTTATGAGTTGGAATAGTTTCCTCGTTCGATCAAGTATTGTTTAGCGAGGTTAAACAAAAACTGATAGCATATACTAACAAGGGAAATCTTAAATTGAACACATGAACAAGGAGTTTATGCTTGTATATTCTTCATGTCTCTCTTAGTACAATAAAGGATAGAGCTAAGTGGTCACTCGTTGTCTGAAGTAATGCAACTTTAGTTACAAAAAAATTAAAATTTTTTGTTGCCTTAGCTGTTAAAGTATGTGTATTAAGAATTATTATTTCCAAAGAAACTGTTAAATCATCGAACGATATAATTTTCTTGTTTTATCCATAATCACAAGTAAGGTTCATCTTCGACTCACTGACCTTTGAGTCAAGGTCAAAAACGCATTTTCAGTCAAGAACGGAAATGTCAGTTACTGGTTTTTTTCGTTTTCATATGTAATGTTAGATTAGATTATACACACAGTTATTACTTTTTTGTGTTCTGCGGATGCCGACGTGAACGCCGACATTTATTCCATATTGCCCTAGACTTTCAGTCAAGAGAATAAGAACCCCATGGGTAAAACGTGGAAAAAATGAAAAAAAGACGCAAAGTAACCAGTCCCTATGTAATCGACTATGGTGCATTCGATGGGTGTATGGACGGGCTCCCCAAAGGATCTCCAGAGGACCTTCAAGCAAACTTCAGAAAACCGCTTCATCAAAAACCATTGTAAAATGAAGTTGCCTAGGTGACAGAATATAGAATGTCCACCGAGGTGGACATCAGGGGGGAGTGACATGAAAAGTACTGATTTTTTCGTTTTACATTTTTTGTAAACTGCCGGTAATTCAAAGTTTCAGCACTTTTTATTTTTCGCCTAAAGGCACATCATTAGATGCAGTTTATCTGGTGATCACGAATCTGACCTGATTTTTTCGATTTGAGTGAGTTTTCCCAGAAAAAAAACGCAAAATACTGCGAATTGCCGTGACACGACATTACCGCGAATACAGAAAACCACATTACCGCGAACGTTTTCTATATTCGTCGTAATGTCGTTGGCGGTATTGTCATTCGCGGTAATGTTGCTGTATCCTGTAATTGTATCACATAATGACTATTAACTACATAACTTTGCCCGGTTTCAAAACATGATATACAAAACCAGGCTCATTTATTCTTCTTTTCCAATAAACGGAGTCTTCGCGGTAATGTCGTTTTCTGTATTCGCGGTAATGTCGTTCGCGGTAGTGTCGCGGTATCCACCAATGTGATTTTCGGATTCCGACACTCAAACTGAGTCTAAACATGTGGTCTAGAGAATTAAATTAGTTTCTTCTTATTTCTGTAGCTTTGGGGTGACAATGAACATTTAGGACTTTTCTTGTAAATTTTATAACTTTGCAAAGAAAGGTCGTGTAGAGCTGAGAGGCGTCTCATTTTAATCAAAAATGTGCGGGCTACAATTATGCCTGATTAAGAAAGGTTTTAGTTATCTTTTAGAGCAAAAAACTAGATAGAGCTGCAAAATTAGGTCGTACCAACGGAGGACCATCGATTTTTAAACTTTCACAACCTATACGATACGCACGATCAAGCTCTAGACCACATGTCTATACTCAGTTTGAGTCGAGGAATCAAAAAATTACAAAAAAAATCAAAAAAAAGGAAAAATCAGAACCTTTCATGTCACTCTCTCCTGATGTCGACAGGTGTGGACATTTCATTACAAGACACAGTGCACCAAGGCAAGAGTACAAGACATAACGTTTCAAAGGATCTTTTTTCCCCTATTTATAGAGTTATAACACTATGAAACAGGCTTCTTTTAAAAGTATGGCATTAGATATCCCTCGATATCCCTTCAGCACTAGTATCTTGTAATAGAATAAACAAAGGTGGTCGAATATGGTAAAACAACGTATCT